GAGAAGAGAAAAGAAGAGAAGAGGAGAGGAGAGGAGAGGAGGGGAGGGGAGGGGAGAAGAGATGAAATCTCTTCTTATTTTGTTATCAAAGTTAGAGCAAAATTGCAAAGTTTATTTCCTTTAAAATCAACCACCTGAAAATGGGGCTTTTCTGGAGAACCAGCATGTTTACCTCCAAACTTTCCATTCCCTTCCCTTCTTCACTCCTTTACTCCTTTCCATCTCTTTCCCTTCTTTTCATTCTTAACATAAAATAACAGAGTTAGAAGGGATCTTGGAGGCCATCTGGTCCAGCCCCCTGCTGGAGCAGGAGGACCTATATCTTTTCAAGACAAATATGCCTTTGTTCTTAAAAGTCCCACACAACTTCTGAAGGCAAGCCATTCCACTGGTTGATGATCGTTGAATGTTGGATTTCCCTTCCCTTCCCAGAAATACAAGGCAACAATTCCTCAGAGTTTCACTTATATGTTGCCTTTGCCATTCCTAATCCTGAGGTGTTGTCATCTTTCTAACAATGTCAGTGCTATTATGGGATTGCAGAGACTGAAAGCAGAATGAGTCCCAATTCTCCTCATAAATGAGAGGTCAGACTACTGCTTACACCAAAAGACGATTAAACCCATTCTAGTTTCTGAAGCATCCTTCAAGGCCTCCCAGTGACATTTCCTTTGACCACAGCTGCTGGCCAGAGAGAAGTTGATATCTGTTTGACAGATTAACAGGGTTGGAAGGGACCTTGTAGGTCATCTAGTCCAACCCCCTGCCCAGCAGACCCTACACCATTTCTGACAGATGGCAGTCCAGTCTCTTCTTGAAGGCTTCCAGTGATGAAGCTCCCACAACTTCAGTTGTGTTTGGCAGAAGGTCTTCTAAGCCCATTGACAGCATTGTGTCTTTGTCTGTAAGACATGGTTAAGTCTGCTGCAAAGCTACCTCATTTGGCAAATATTATAATTCAGTGTATTATGTGAACCCAGGAAATGGATTTGGTTAGTAACCCAGTCGAGTAGCTTTTCAGAACTGACATGTGCCTGTTACAGCAGGTACTTGACTGCTTTTCTGAGGAACTTCTGCTGGATCAAAAGCTGGATTAACTGGAGACAGAAAGGAGACAATAAACAAGACAAATTCTTAATACTCTGAACAACGAACATTTATATGGCACATCAAATCATAATGAGGGTTGCTTTATCTAGGCTTAGGCTGTTGAGTGAACCAAACCATTGTAATTTTGCAAAAAATTATAGCTTAGCATGATGTGTACCCCCCAGTTAATTGTGATTTGATCACTAAATTAAATTAAGTCTAGTACAGTGTAATGGATTCCCAGGAGGAAGCGGCTGTATTCCAGAGGGCAGTGTGGAAAGTTGGAGTGGCAGAAAGAGGGTTAAAATGGCTACTCCCAAGCGATTCCCAGAATATTTCGAGAATCTAGAGTCACCTTGGTGAAATGGATGACATAGAAGTTTAATAAATGAATCTATTAGTAATAGAAATAGTTCTTTTAGTCTGGCAAGATTCTGTCTGTAGGTGAAGAAAACTACTCCCAAGTAACTCCACATGTCATTCTTGGTTTTTAGGGCCCATCGTGCAGCGTGTTAATCCAGCTACAACCACCACTGCACAGAAATGATGGGTGCATTTAGCAAACCTTTGTTTATTTAAACCTGTTGATTTAGATAAAAAAAAAACTTAATAGAAATCAAACTAGCCACGTTAATAGCTTAGTGTTTGGAGTTTCCCCCACTGGCCAGGAAGATCAATCAGATTGAGGATATTTCCTTTGGTGCCTAGCAGGTTTTCTACCTACCCCATACAACTTTTTACATTAAAAACAAAAAACAAAAGTAAAAGCTTGCTGCAAATTAAAAACATTGTTTCCTGCATTATCTTTATTTTCCAAACAGCAGCATCCACAAAAAAAGTCAGGATGGTGTCTGAAGCTTTGGAAGTGACATTTTTTCCTCACCCCCCCCCCTTTTTTTTTTTTTTTACATGCACAACACCGTTGCCTTTGCTAAAAAGAGTGTGTAAGATATTTTGATGGTTTGGAAACCCGAGTCGTTTGAACGCAATTTCTCTTACAAAGCAGCATAAAAATGAAGACATATCAATGTATAAAAGGGCCTCTTTCTAAGATACTTCTCTGCTTCTGCACCTGAACCAGTTCAGGCCCTCTTCCTTGCACAATCCTTGGAGAAATGTGCTGGTGAAACTCACTGTGAGCTTGCATGATCCGAGAAATATTGAGTCCCTCCTTCACGCGCATCACGCATACTCCATATTTGAAGTCAAAAGCATCACTGGAACAGGGAGGAGGGGAAAAAAGCAAACCCAAATGTCAGCATGAGGGAGATTTACAGAGGTGGACTATCTAGGACAAGGGTCTTCAAACTTGGCAAGTTTAAGACTTGTGGATTTCAACTCCCAGAATTCCTGAGCTAACACGACCAGAGGAGGAATTCTGGGAGTTGTCGTCCACAAAGTCTTAAAGCTGTCGAGTTTGAAGACCCCTGGAATAGATAGATAGAGAGGTAGAACAGATAGATAAAAAGAAAGAGAGAGGAAAGGTACATAGAATAGATCGAGGGTCTTCAAACTTGGCAAGTTTAAGACTTGTGGACTTCAACTCCCAGAATTCCTGAGCTAATATGACTGAAGGAGGAATTCTAGGAGTTGAAGTCCACAAGTCTTTTTTTTTTTTAGTTTTTATTGTTTTTCCACCAGTACAAATCATATTTACATTTTCAACAGCATTTGACATTGTCATACAATGTTATCTTACATTATCTATCATCTATTCATGTATATCACAAACATCTATTATCTTTATTTATACTTGTCATTAATCTCTGTCTTTGTCTATTTTACATATCTACATATCATTCTCTTGAGCATTCTTCTATGTAATCTTTGCTTTTCATTCCTTATCCCTATTTTCTAACCATTTGTACCATCTGTGCCAAATTGAATAATAATTAGATTCCTCTTTTTCTTTCATTTCTTTCATAAGCATATCCACTTCTGCACAGACTGTTATTTTTTGTAAAACTAAGTCTTCTGTTGGAATATTAGGCCCTTTCCACATTTGCGCATAAGCTATTCTGGCTGCTGTTAGAATATGTAAAATTATGTATTTTATCTTTTTTCGGTATTGGTCTTTGATTATTCCCAATAAATAAGTTCTGGTTTGAGTTCAATTTGGTGTCCTGTGATTCCTTGTATCCAATCTTTAATTTTGTTCCAATAGATCTTGACCTTGGGGCATAGCCACCACATGTGGTAGAAGGTACCATTGACTTTTTGGCATTTCCAGCATTTTGGGCTAGTATTTGGGTATATTTTGGCTAGTCTTGCCGGGGCTAAGTGCCATCAGTAAAACATTTTGTATAAATTTTCTTTATACGTCGAGGCTGTTGTTAACTTATAATTTGTGCTCCATAATTTTTGCCATTCCTCTAAATTGTGAAGTCCACAATTCTTAAAGCTATCAAATTTGAAGACCCCTGACCTAGGATAATATGGAACAAGTTAGTTGGTCTATCCCTAAATCTTTTTCCCAAAGGAAGGCACTCTTAAGGCCATCC